AATAAACAAACTGTGATACATGCACACAATGGAATGTTATGCTACCTTGAAGAACAACAAGGAAGCTGTAAGCTACCATATAACATGGATGAACCTTGAGGACATTATGTTGAGTGAATTAGTGAGTCACAAAAGGAGAAATACTGCATAGGACCACTACTGTAAAAGACTAAGAAAAAGAATCCATACTAAAAGAGTGGGGGGCGAGGGAGGAATTCTCTGCTGGTTACTGGGATGTGGGGCTTGGAGTGAGGGGAGGGAGGGGAAGGTGTAGCACAGGGTAGGGAATAGGAACAGGATAGTCTGGGTGCTGGGGAGGAGGGCAATACACAAGAAGGGGGAGAGGAATGGAAGAACAAAGTAGATGGGAGACAATTAGGCAGGTTTGCATGGGCTAAATGCGACAGAGGTAAATAATGATGTATGCACAACCTTGGAACAACAGGACACTGGAATACAGGGATTGAGACATGGTTGGAATGGGCAAAAGGGGGCAAATAATGTTAAGATGCTTGGCTGTCTTTTGAATCTTGGTTTCCCTGGCATACCATTATAAAATAGACACTTGAGGGGGAAAGAAAAGAATAGCCAGATATATCACCATAGAAAGCTTGTAAGTCTGTCTTCTGCCTATAACTGATTGGAATACCTAAAATGGGGTTACAATGTGTCCAGTGAAGGAGGCTTCCTACGGAGCCTCTGAATTACATAAAACCATAGGTGGAATCCTGAACTGCATCCAGAATCTTCTGAGGTGGGAAATTTCCACTTGAAGGGACGGGCAGACCAGTCTGAAGTAGCTAGAAGAACAGAAGATACTTCTTGAAAAACAGACTGACAGGAAAAATACAAAACAATAACTACAGTCCAACTGACTACTACAAGAAAAAGCAAGTTGCTCACCCTGGAGACATCAAGGCAAGCGATCAGGTCCCCTCAGGACAACCCCCCTTCCAAGACTAAGAATCAATGGGAAAACACGAGCAGACACATGCTCTGACTGGTGACCATGTTAGTCAGCGATAAAGGGAAGTAAGGGAAAAACAGCAATGAAGCTGTGAGCTAAGTCCAACCACGTTCAATAGACTCCTGTGAACCTGGGTGGAGACTTGGTTGGCTAGCAGTCTGGCAAGACCTGGGGACTCCTGGGCCCAGAGTCAGTGACATAGCCACAGAGGACTAGAGAGGAGAATGAAGCATCCAGCTGATAAGAAGAGAGGGCATATGCACAAGAACACCCACACTTGCAGATAATACCCACTTGACCTGGCTTCAATGACTGGATGATCAGAGCTCAACTAGAAGAAGAATAAAAGAGTAATCTGATATAATTTTATAAACTTGACCTACACCTATGGATGCAGTAGCTCAAAAGAGAGAACAAATCTTTACAGTGAGGATCACTCCCACCCCCTCAAAACACAGGATAGACAAGGATGGGCAACTTGGACATTGGCTACCCAAAATGGGGGAGGAGGGCTACAAAGGCAAGAAGTGACTGTCTTACATGCTTTCAAGAGGGAGCCTAGATCCAGAGGATGCAGTGGTAGAATCTCCATTGAGTAGTATCCAATCTGTCTGGGTGGGACTGATGAAAGGATATGGGGATAGCACTTATGTGGTACAACAGTGAATAGTTACTACCAGGACTGACTGTGACGTTTGGAAATGTAAAGGTAGATGTTTTGTAGCAAAAGGAGGGGAGTGATTGACTTTGCAGTCTAGGAGTGATGTACATCAAGGGAGAAGAGCAGAGTGTGGGACTCTACCCAGAGAAACAGTGACGCCAAAGATGGAGGCAGAGACGATGATGTGGAAATATGGAACGGCTGCGAACTCTAGACCTAGAGAGGTAGAGGGGCTGTGTGCTGACGACCGGGGAGCAGGCTTGCGGGATGTACCCTTTGGTTGGTTGATGATGCATGGAGGGGGATTGTAACCATGGCAATGTAATGATATACGATAGGATGAATGCAAAGCTAATGTTCATCTAGCACACAATTCACAATAAAAAAAATTTACAGCCTCAGTGCAATGAAACTTTGAGTGTAAATCTGATGTTCTCTCATGGAAACTCCCACTCAATTCATTATAAAAACTAAAAAAAAAAACAAAAGAAGAAGAAGGAAGAGTAGGAGTGAAGCATGAGATCCCTACCTAGAAAAGCAGAGATGGTGACAGAAGCAGGGGTATGGAGAGACAGAGCAGCATCAGGCTCCAGGCCCATGGACTGAGTAATGTTGTATGTCTGCAGGCAGGAGGCTCGCTTACAGAAAGTGCCTTGGCTTACAGAAAACGCCTTTTAGACATTTTAATGCATAAATATTTTTGTCTTGTATATGTACATCAATATTTTTGCATTGTTCATTTGTGAAATATGATGTAAATAGGCAACCTCAGGAAGTAGGATAACTGTTGCTGCAAGGAGGACACTGTAATCATGAGATGAAACTAAGTGTATGATTTGTTGAATGAAAAAAAAAAAAAAAAAAAAAAAGAGGGATATTATGTTTAGTAAAGTAGAGGGTCAACAAAAAAACAGAAAGCCCCTCAGACAGACAAAAGCGGCTGCAACAATGGGCTCAAACCTAGTAACAAGGATGTAAGGATGGCACAGGATCAGATAGTATTTTGTTTTGTTTACACAGGGTCCCTATTGTCAGAGCCGACACAGTGGCACCTAACATCAACACATGTTACTGAGGCAGGATTAGTGTAGAGTCTATCTTGAGTCACTACCCTTACTCAAGTCACCACCCTCATTCCAAACACAGCCTTGCTGAGTCACACCTTTTATCTTACAAGAAAGAAAAGGAGAGAGACGCAAGCAGAGAGGAGAGGGACCTCACCACTACCAAGAGTGAGGGGCCAGGAGTGGAGCGCATCTTTTGGATCTGGGATCCCTGCACTGAGAACCTCCTAGACCCAGGGAAGACTGATGCCAAGATACACGGAAACCTCCAAAGAACACTGGGCCTACAGATATTGAAAGGAGACAAGGAAAGGACCTTCCTGGGAGCAAGCACCCTAAATTTGGACATCTAGCCTCCTACACTGTGAGAAAAGAAATCTCTGTTTGTTAAAGTCATTCACTTGTATTACTTTTGTTATAGAAACACAAGATAACTAAGATGTGGAAAACCAGTTTTCTAGTACCATTCAATCTTTTCCCATTGTCTTAATAACACCATCCGTGTCATGTATAAAGTTTTATTTATAGGTTGGGTATTTTCCAAACTTTTTTTATTCTATTACTCTATTTGTCTATCCTTGAACTAATAACAAGTTACCTTAATTACTATAGTTTAACTGTGATATTTGATTGATCAAGTTCTCCCACCTTATTCTTCTTTTACTATAGTTTAGGTTTCCTCGCCTATTGCTTTTCCACATTTTCCACACCAGCGGCTCCTTGGAAACCCCATACAGGGTCACTCTAAGTCACAACTGACTCACTGGCACTTAACAATAACAACTTTATCTGGTCAGAAGTCTTGCTCTTTTATGGTATGTTAGGAGTTTTGATTCTGACTTCTCAAGTTTAGTATTTTTTCTACATCCACTGATAAGATCATATGGTTTTCCCCTTTTAGTCTGTTAATGTGCGAAATTACTTTATAGAAATATTGGTATTATTCTAATCTTACATTCCTGAGGTTAGCTTAATTAATATGTTTCCAGATTTAAATTGCTAATATTTAAAACATTTTTATATCAATTATCTAGAAGAATTAGTATAAGACTAGAATGATCTGTTGAGTATTTGATATCCTTAAATCTACCTGAGTGTTTTTAAATATTGTGGAAACATTTTAAGGCAGTGATATAATTTATCTATCTCTATGACTATTCTGGAGTCCTGGATGTAGGATAAGCACTGGACAGCTAACCACAAGATCAGTGGTTCAAACCAACCAACTCCTTTTCAGAAACCCTATATAGGGTTGCTATGAGTTGGAACTGACTCAATAGCACTTAACAACATTGAATGATTCAGATCAAGTAAAAATTTGAAATCTATCAGTAGATCCTGAAAGTTTAATTAATCTTTTATTTTTTAGATAAACTCACCAATTTTTCCTTCTCTTCTTGGGCTTTTTCCTGTGTTTCAGTCAATTGCTGTTTCAGTTTTTCAATCTGTAGAAGATGGAAATAGAGTCAGGAAGGAAACTGCTCAGTGTCTTACCTCTATTACGTAGCCTGCTTTTCACATGGTACTAAAACCAGTAGGGTTGGACAAGGGCCTAGCAAGGGTATAGAGGACAATCTCTAAATTACACTGCACCACCCCAATATCAAGATGCATAAATGTTGACAGCAGTAATTTGTCAGCAGAAACGCCTTCCCTCTCTTGTCTGCTTGCCTCAATCAGGCACCTTTCATATTTGTGTGACCTTGGAATATCATTTCATGACCTATATGGCGCCCCCCTGGATTTGCACCAGGGGAAGAGTGTCCCAATATGGCCCCCTGGCTAGGCCTCTCTGGATTTGGAGACACAGTGAGGTGTGGATGGAAGAAAAAAGGGAACAGGAGCTATGCCCCTACCTTTAGCCTGTGATTGCTAGTTTGCTAAGTTTAGCTATCATTGAATTACCTGGCCAACTTCTTTTAAAGAAAGGCAGATGAGAATCAGGAAATACAAGTGATACTAATAAATGCAGATCAGTATTAATTATTGTTTTTGGGTGCTGTTGAGTTGATTAAGACAGAATGAAACACCAATAGTTCAGATAAATTAAAAAATCTGCAAGCCACAAAATGTTGATAAAATTTGAAAATTATTTGTACAACTGGCCTAAAAATCTTAAGGATAATACCTACTATTCAAACATACCAACCTGACCGCACTTTAACAACAAAAAACAACAATTATTCAAAGAAAGAGCCCTGGTGGCACAGTGGTTAAGCAGCTCAACTGCTAATCAGAAGGTTGATTGTTCAAACCCACCAGCAGCTCTCTGGGAGAAAAAACCTGGCTATCTGCTCCAATAAAGATTACCCATTGCCATTGAGTTGATTCTGACTCATAAGAGACCCTGTATAGGGCTCCTGAGGTTGCCCAGTGCTTATCCCACAGCATGAGCATAAAGATTGTTGTTGTGAGGCACTGTCAAGTCAGCTCCCACTCAGAATGACTCTATTTTCAACAGAATGAAACAATGTCCTTCCTGTGCCATCCTCACATTTATTGTAAGTTTGAGTTCACTGTTGCTGCCACTATGTCAATCCATCTCATCGGAGGTCTTCTTTTTCATTGGCCCTCCACTTTACCAAGCATGATGTCTTTCTCCAGGGACTGTTGTTGTTGTTAGGTGCCATTGAGTCGGTACCGACCCAGAGCAACCTTATGCACAGCAGAATGAAACACTGCC